GTTTTTGGTGTGGTTCTTTTCTCTCTTAAATGTCAGCACAGCTGTTTTAAGTTTTAAGAAACCACAAACATGTTATCCTCTAAAACTTTAATTTTGAAAGACAGGCCTTTTAAAGAGTACCTTCCCTATTTGTGTCTCCCTCTCAAACTCTTAAAAGGTGAACACATTTCCTTTGGTAAAGATGTTACATGTAAGCTTTTCAGACATAATGTTATACTATTGCTGAATTCCTAGGAAATGTTACGTTAGGAGGAAGCAGCAGCATTTAGGAGGAAGCAGCAGCATTCAGAACGGTAACACAGGAGGCAGCTCAGTTCTCGGGATCCCGCTGCAACCTTGGTGTATTGTCCACGGCCACAGAGGCAAGAAGGAAGCAGTTGTGGGTGTTTCTGGGCGCATCCTAGCCCAAGTCATGGATGGTATTGTTTTGCTTCTTTTTTTTTTTTAATGCTATAGCAATGCTTCCACTTCCGGGTACGTAGGAAAGCCTATTCGGCTGTTAAAAAGAAGTCCCTAGTTGTATTCCTTACAACATTAAGACCATTTTGGCTAGCAGTTCTCAACCTGTGGGGGTCGAACGACCCTTTCACGGGGGTCACCCGATTCATAACAGTAACAAAATGACAGTAATGAAGTAGCAACAAAAATAATTTTATGGTTGGGGGGTCGCCACAACATGAGGAACTGTATGAAAGGGTCACGGCATTAGGAAGGCTGAGAACCGTTGATTGGGGCCGTGGAAATCATTGCTTGGTTCCTCTGAGTCACTGTGGTTCGTAGAATTTTCACATGAGTTCCAGACAAGGGTGACATGATGTATTGATTTTAGTTTGTATCCTCTAGTGCTTTTTGACTACATGACTGTTAGGCTTGCTATAAAAGTATTTCGATATTTTGTATTACTTTAGAAGTTACTCTACTATACGTATTGACTCCTCCACTCCCCTTCCAGTGGACAGCAGCAGTGATATCCCTTGTTCCATGTCCTCTCATGCATTCGGCTTGAATGTTTGGCAGTTCCCAGTCAATTGACTGCAGCAACCAATTTTTAAAATTAACTTCAGCATAATTTTACCTACATGTGATATTAATGACACTGTTTGGCAATTCCCTCATTTCATTGTGTTTGTTCTTTGGGATAGGCACATCTGTGGATCTCTTCCAGTTGGTTAACTATATAGCTGTCTTTAGATTTTCTTGGCATAAATGAGTGAGTGCTTCCAGTATTGCATCTGTTTGTTGAAGCACCTCAATTGATATGCTGTCAATTCCTGGAGCTGGTTTTTCACCAGTGCCTTCAGGAGCTTGGGCTGCTTCCATCTACACCATCCATTCTTGATTACATGCTCCCTCCTGAAATGGTTGAACACTGACTAATTCTTTTGGGCATAGTGACTCTTCTGATTCCTCCCATCTTCTTTTGACCCTACCTGCACTATTCATTATGTGCCCATAGAGTCCTTCATTATGTCAACGTGAAGTTTGGGGGTTTTCCCTTCATTTGTTCAACTTGAGGAATGCCTAGCATTGTTCTTCCTTTTTGGTTTTCTAACTCCAGAGCATTAGACA